TTGGGGACCCCAGACCAGTGCCACACCAGAGCCTGGGGCTGCCCCTGGGGACCCCAGACCAGCCCCACATCAAAGCCTGGGGATGCTCCTTGTTTGGGAGCCCCCCCTTGGCTGAGAACCCCGGTGGGCACCTCCCCCAGGCTCCCTGCTCGAGATCCATTCCCACACCCCGTGAGGGGCTGGGGGCACAGCAGGTCTTCCCAGAGCTTTGCTTCTGACCACGTGTGGCAACACAAACCTTGTACTTGATGGCCAGCAGCTCCGTGGCCTCCTGCTCCTTCCGCAGGTCCTCGATCATCTTCTCCTTCTCCTGGAGCAGCTTCTGCTTCTCCTCGCTCACCAGGCTGTGGTCATCCTGGATGGCGGCTTTTTCCTCTTCCAGCCTCTCCTTCTGCTCCTTCAAGTAATTCTCCATGTTCTTCTCCAGGCCATCCTCGTTCTCGTCCTCCCCTTCATTGTCCACAACACCCTCTCCATCCATCGCTTTCTTCCTCCGGCTGCTCCTTCTCCTCTTCTTCCCCAGCATCCCGCGTTTCTCCAGCTGAGCTTTCAGCCGGACGATCTCCTCCTGGAACTCCCGCAGCAAGGTGTCCTTGGGGTCCTCATTCACCCGGGGCTTGTTCTTGATGTTCTTGGCCCTGTTGGCGAACCGGAGGGTGGAGAGGCTCTCATCATAGCTGTGGGAGGCCGGGCCCAAGGTGGCCACCATGATTGTCTTGGCGTTGCCCCCGAGGGAGTCCTGCAGCAGGCGGGTGAGCTTGGAGTCCCGGTAGGGGATGTGCGTGCTCCGGCCGTCCACCAGCGCCGAGATGACGTTGCCCAGGGCCGAGAGGGAGAGGTTGATTTTGGAGGCTTCCTTGGGGCGCTCTCCGTGGGCYCCCATTTTGTTCTGGCGCTCGCTACCGGCCAGGTCCACGAGGTTGAGCTTGCCCACGCGGATGTGCTCCTCGCCGTCCGGCCCCGTCTCGCTGCACTCGATGGTGATGAGGAAGATGGCGTGGGAGCGCGAGCTGTGCTCGTTCATGTTGGTGCTGCCCACCGAGCGCRTCTGGCTGCCCAGGTTCATCACGTGCTCGATCTCCTTGACGTTTTTGGTCACGAAGGACGAAAGGTCCTTGATGTACACCCCGGTCTCGGGGTTCTCCTTCAGCTCCAGCTTCTTGCTCTGGTCCTTGGCGAGGAGGTCCCTGATCTCCTCCTGGTAGATCTCCAGGTACGAGGCCCTCACCAGGTACTGCTGGTTCTGCGAGCGGGAGATGTGGGTGAAGATGTGCTCGAAGGCGCTGGGGATGATGCCGCGCTTCTCCGGCTCCGCCCAGGCGCCCTGCATGGTGTAGGTCTTGCCGGTGCCGGTCTGGCCATAGGCGAAGACGGTGCCATTGAAGCCCTGCAGCACCGAGTCGATGAGCGGCCGCACCGTCTCGTCGTAGAGGTCGGCCTGCTTGGAGCTGGCRTCGTACACGGCGTCGAAGGTGAAGGTCTTGGGCAGCTCCCCCGGGGCGGCGCGGGGGTTGCGGATGCTCACCTGGCCCAGCTTCACGTCCAGCTCCAGGACGCGCTCGTATCCCGCCGCCTCCTCCCGCCGGCTCATGGGCCGGCACCGGGCCACCACCCGGAGCGCCTCGCAGCCGCTGCGGGGCTTACCGGCCATGGCGGCGGCGGGCGGGGCCGGCGGCTCAGCGGGGCTGGGGGGCTCAGCCGCGCCGCCCCCGCGGCATCCCCGGGGCCGAGGCCGGGGC